ACTCTAAACCTACATGTAAGTAATGCAATTTCCCTTATTTCTAGATTGGCTATAAACTTGAGAGTAAAACTTAAAGTGGTAATAAAATCCTTTCTACTTTCTCCTGTGTGTATTGATACAGCAAAACTTAATTTATTTGTGGGCTAACAAGGAGTGATTTACAAATAAAATTGCTAAATATGATGCAAGGCGACTGCACATCACATTTTTAACATGGGTATTAAGGGTTGCCTGGTGATGCCTGCTGGTTTTTAAGGGAGTTTCATGGGTATCACCTGTTCTGTATAACAGTGCCTCAGTGCCTCGTTAGCCCCATCTTTAATTTCTTTGTACCTATTTAATGTTTTGCAGTGAATTTCATTTACATAACCTATCTTCTCTAGAGTCGGTGTTTCTCTCTTGAGGATTATATATTGAATTTATTGATCTACACAAAAAAGGCTAGCACAATTTGTAGAATATAGATTATTTTAGGTAATAAGTACATGATGGCATATTCAATTTATCTGACTATTACAACCTAAAACCAGTTTCTCTCCATTGGACAGATTAAGAAAAATGAAAAATAGAACTAACATGTGTTTAAAACTTTAGTTCTTCTGTCCTTTAGAATCCACATCCTAACAGAATACCAACAGTAGTCTGAGGCTTGTTATGTGATAAGCAGAAACAACAACTAAATGCAATTTAAAAAGCTATGAAAAGTCTCTAATAAAGCTGAAGAGAGATGGATGACTACGTGTAAATATCTGGGTGATAGTAAGTTGGGATGGTTGGAATTCTTGCCTCTTCTTTTACAGTTATTTATCTTTACTTACTGACATTCCTTGGTGTCATCATTTCCAGTATCCTTCACAGGCGTAGTTTTCCTTTCCAGAAACTCAAGGCAGATTTTATTTTCTGTTTTTACAGTACTAGATTTCTATATCTTTAAAAAAAATGGAATTTTTAAATTTAAGTATTCATAAGAAATTATGTAAGGATATATATATATATATGTATGTAATAAATACATATGTATTATGTATGTAATACATATGTATGTATTATGTATGTAATACATACATACATATATGCATACTTATAATGGAATGTATTCTGCAACAAAAAAGGTAGTTAACAGATGTTATGAATTACAATTGGATGAGGCTTTATCTTTCCAAAATTTTAAACGTATTCTAGAAAGGTTATACAATTTAACAACAAAAGTGAGTTAGAATAAATTCAAGTTACCAAGTGATCACATATTATGAGACACACTCAAAATAGAGTACTTGAATCACAAAACCCGATTTATACAAATAAACCATGTGTTGAAATGCCTAGATACCATTCATAGTTAAATAAGTTAGCAGGAATAAGAGCAGTCTGTGAAAGTCAGCTTACAGGGGACAGCTGGTCTCCCGTAATGACAAAACTAGATGTAGGCCCACAGCGCTAATAGAATGTACTTCTCTATAAGTCTTTTTTGCCAAGGATGTTCTCTGATTCAACATATTAGTATGGAAGCAGGCTTTCATATCTGCCAAGCTTAGCCTTCATTAGCCTTAGCATTCATTAGCCTTCATATATATATATCCCCTGAAATATATAAGGAAAAGTTACTATTTTAGTAGTTTCTATTTGGTTCTTCATTCTTTCTAAAAGTCTCTAACAATTTGATGTTAGCTGCTTTTCTAAAAAGAAAAGTTTTAAGAAATAATGAATTATTCATAGAGGAACTGTTTTTTAGGTTAATTATGTGTAATGCTGAAAATGCATTATAATGTGTAATTATATTTTTCAACATAATTACTAAGTATAATCACAATGTATAATTCTTTATGAGAGTATATGAAGGAAATAATGCTGCTCATGCATAATGTTACAATGGATAAACTTCATTAATCCAAAGACTTACTGCTACTTATAGTTTTGAATAGACTGATCACACGGACAGAAAAAAACAGAACAAAACATGATTTTATATTGAAGTATGACAGTAGTTTGAAATGAAACATTTTAGAAACTCAAGTATCAAATCTTCATACACATGAGTCTCTGTACTGGATTTGGTCTGGCATGGCCTTGCATAAACCTTCTGTATCCTTAGCTTTAAAGTTTCAGATGCTCAGCCTGATGGCCAACTGATGGGCAGAGTGAATGGAATTTTATGTAAGAAGTGGGAAATAGTAAGAGCTGAAGGGGACAGGAACTCCACAAGCAGAGCAACAGAACAAGATAATTTGAACAAAGGGAACTTCCCAGAGACTCATACTCCAACCAAGGACTATTCATGGAGATAACCTAGAACCCATGTAGCCCATGGCAGTTCAGTGTCCAAGTGGGTTACATAGTAATGGGAAGAGGGACTGGCTCTGACACAATCTGATTGGCCTGCTCTTTGATCACCTCCCCTTGAGCAGCCTTACCAGGCCACAGAAGAGGACAATGCAGCCACTTTTGATGAGAATTGATAGACTAAGATCAGAAAGGAGAGGAAAACCTCCCCTATCAGTGGACTTGGGGAGTGGCATGCATGCAGAAAGGGGAGGGAGGGTGGGATCGGGAGGGGAGGAAGGAGGGGCTTATGGGGGGATACAAAATGAATAAAGTGTAATTAATAAAAAAATTAAAAAAAATAATGATTAAAAACAAATTCGTGTATTTTCTCTAGAATATCCACAGAGGTCGGGATTTCTTAGGGGTCAGTGGTAAGTGCTTTCGAGGGACAGAAGATACAATGCATTGGTATGAAAGATTAAAAGGGGAAAAAGTGTATGTCTCACTTACTGGGTATTGCTCTAGGCACAGAAAAAGCAAAGACAACAGTATATTGAAGTTTATCTATAAGTGTGGCTCTCATTCGTGATGCTGTTCCATTTGTTTACTTACGTACATATTATCTTAAAACTGAAAGAGGACAGTCCATAAACCATTCTTAATTTTGAGACTGAGATTTCCTTCCAAATGTATATTTACACATTCATAAATCTTGATTTTTAAGACATAGTTTTAATCTGAAAGCTAAGTCTGGATATATGAACAATTAAACAGGGCACTATGACTGACGTAGAAGCTTAATTAAATGCATTTGAGATAAAATTGAGTATTGTCTTGTTTCATTCAACATACACTTTTAAGTTACCTGCCTAGATAAGGTGTTTTGTGTTTTTCTGTATCAGTATTATAGAGGGTAAAATCAGGCATGTCTTTCACATCTGGATACCAAAAGTTTAGTTAAATAATACTGTTACTTATGTGACTATGGAAGGACTCTCTGAGCAGTAGCAATAACTACTCTCAGAGAAAATTAAATCGTTATAGGTCTATATCTTAAAAAAACTTCTTTATGAGTTTCACATCATGCACTCCAGTCCTACTCACCTACATCTCCCGACACATCCATCTTTCTCTCTTGCAAATTTCCCCTCAAAACACACACACACACACACACAGACACACACACACACACAGACACACACACACACACACACTTACTCACTCACACTCACAAAGCACAGAAAAACATCTCATCTTGGAAGCTGTAGTATATCATGCAGTGAGACCCACATTTCCCTCTATCCACACATCTTCACTTGCCAATGTTCATTCAAATGGGTCATTGGTCTGATTTGAGATCTCTGGCTTTTGTGACACCGCTGATATTCAACCCTCACCAGAACTCCTCCCGGTTATCCTGTTGTTACCTTGTGTCACGGACATCCCGCAGCTTTGGATCAGCAACACTGACCCTTTCGTGTGTTCCAACCATTGGCAGATGATATAGATTTGGGGGTGGGCCAACTCAGAGCTCTGGCCGTGGGCCTGGGCGGTAGCTGAGCTGGTGAGTGCCAGCTCTCCCTTATTCCCACTGCGTGTGTGGCGGTGGTGGGGTTCTCCAGAACTGCTCAGGCTAAGCTACCCAAATCTGTCATCGGGAGGCAGTATCAACTCTCAAGCCCTTGGGCCTGCTCACCTGCACCCACCCCTCCAGAGCCAGCTTCACTGGGCTGCCCAGTCAAGGCATGGGGCCCATTCTCTCAAGTCCTGCAGCCTGCTTGGCTGTATCAGCTCTCTTACTCTAATACTCTCTTGGCCAGCTCATTTCACCCCCTCCCCCAGCACCAGCTCTACTGTGCTGCCAGGCAAGGTAAAGAGCCAGCTTTTCCAAATGCTGCCACTGATGAGAGGCAAGAATAGCTCTCCAATGCTCATGAACTATGGGCATCTTTCCCGACTGCCTTTAGATATTCCACACTCAAGCCCTCAGCTTCAGCTCAAGCACACACCTGCCACCAGGGCAAGCTCCATTGTGCTGCCTGAGTGAGGCACAGGGCCTTCTCTCCCAAACGCCTCTTCTGGTGAGAGGTGGACCCAACTTTCTCAAATCACCTCAGCCAGTGAGAGGCAGGTCAGGCTATACACTGCTCCTCTATAGTCACATGACCCGTGTCTACCACCCTCCCTCTCTCCTGCCAGGACGTCCCCATGTTCTCTAGTGGTAACATGAGCCTTGAACATCAACACTGACCCAGGCTACAGACTGAGACATGGTCCTCAATGGCAGTTCCGGCTGGTATCTCTCACCATGGCCCTCAGGTGCTTACTTCTCTCCACTCTCCAGTTCTGTCTCTCTTCCCCATGCCCAAACCAATCCCCCTTCTCTGTCTCTCCCATCTGTCTACCACATACATGCACATGGTGGTGACTCCTGCTGCAGGTTGGTCACACACCTGATGGGTCCCTGGATGACCATCTCTGACCAAGCTGTAGTGGGGCAGCAAGCAGGTGTCTATGGCCCGCCTGAACTATGCACCCAGGGGCAGGTCTGCTGGTGGCATGGTGTCCACAGGTCTCTGCCTGGCGGTAGGCAGGGCTCTGTGTGTCTATGGCACACCTGTGCTGTGGAGCGGAGTTTGGGTGTCTTTCCCTGCACACACCGTGCAGCATGGTGAAACACTGGTCTCTGTCTTCCTCCTCCCATACTGCAGCTGCCTGGATTTGATTTGATTTGATTTTTACGTTTTCTAGGAATCAAACAGCTTTGGCCAGCAAGCCAGGCATCACGCTAGAATGAACAGAGGACAGCCATCTGCTCTGCCCCTGACTGATATAAGAACAACACCACCAACAGTTGACTCTTTGCCTATTACAAGGGGGTAGGTCTGAATCAAAAAATAAAATGAAATAAAATAAAATAAAATAAACAGTGGCAAGCCCTTGTGCCATACACTAAGGAAAATAAATAAATTTTTACATGGTTAAATCCATGGATTTTTAATCTAATTAACCTTTGCCTTATCAATTCACCATAACATATGGAGTGAAAACAAGTATCTTAGATTTTCCATTATTTTATATATATATATATATATATATATATATATATATATATATATATTTCATATATGTACACTTACATATATATGTGCGTATGTATAGTGAGTGGTAGATCAGAGTCTCCCTCATTATAATATATTAATTATAATAACAATGTATTACTATATTATGTGACTATAACTATAATAGTGTAAAATAACTTCAGCTTTAACTGAAAATAAATAACAATATGGGGGAGATTGTAAGACCTGGAGAGACAGGAGCTCCACAAGTATAGCAACAGAACCAAAATATCTAGGCACAGGGGTCTTTTCTGAGACTGATATTCAAACGGAGGACCAATCATGGATATAAGCTAGAACCCCTGCTCAGATGTAGCCATGGCTGCTCATTATCCAAGTGGGTCCCTAGTAAGGGGAACAGGGACTGTCTCTGACCTGAACTCAGTGGCTGGCTCTTTGAGTGCCTTCCCTGGATGGGGGAGCAGCCTTGCCAGGCCACAGAGGAGGATGATGCAGTCAGTTCCGGTGAGACCTGATAAGCTAGGATGAGATGGAAGGGGAGGAGAACCTCCTCTATCTGTGGACTAGGAGAGGGGCATAGGAGGAGATGAGGGAAGGAGGGTGGAATTGGGAGGGGAGGATGGAGGGGGCTACAGCTGGGATACAAAGTGAATAAACTGTAATTAATATAAAAATAAAAATTTAATAAAAATAGTTAAATTGATATATTTGTATCTGTTTTAGTTTTTTTCAGGATTAACACTGACAGAAACAAATAATTTAACATTTCCTGTTGCTATTGCCATCATGAATATCATGGTAAGACTAACTCTTCTTATATTTACTATACTCCATTTTTTCCATAAGCCTCCCAATTTATTATTACGACTATCTTAGTAAGTGTCTCACAGTATCATGGGTGTATCTCTTACCTTTGTTGTCTTTGCTCAGGTATGATTCGGAGTTAGCCTGTGCAGTCTGAGTGGCTGAAGGAGTAACGACTACATGGTGAACACATTCACATATTTATAGATGGACACAAAGCTAATTCTGAAAATGACTGGATATTCATGTAAATAGGCAAGTGCTCCTATTAAAGAAAGTCAAAATAACTCAATAAAACACCTGCTTAGTCTTTAATCTTAAAGATTAAAGTAATGTTAATTACTGAAGTCATTAGTTTTCAAGAGAGAAAAATTAGAAAAACTACATACATATGTACAATTATAATCTTAAGAAATGGGATTTATTAAAATCTATATATTTTTTTTAAATCTCACAAGATTTTAGAGTCTGCGAGTTCAAGATCAAGGTGGTGGCTGTTAAAGCCCAGGACAACTTCCTTCTAACAGTATATTGAAGGGGGTATCTTTCCTATGGGAGGGAAGGTTTATATGCTCACATGGAAAAGGAGCTGACATGAGCAAACCCACGGCCCCAAGTCTTCCTTTTTAAAATATAGCAACCTTATTACAGCCACAAAACAGAGCCCTCCTCCCACACAACTTCCACTATAATATAGCTAAGATTTATACATTTTAAAGTAAGTTGTAACAGTTGACCAAATCTGTTAAAAGACAAAAATATTAGAATCATAGTACTGAAGAAATACTGCAAATAAACAAAATAAGTGGCGTTCATATTAGACTCCAGTTTATAGCAGAATATTCTCATAAATAATTTTATTGACCTTTCTTCCTTCTTTCTTTCTTTCCTTTTTCTTTTCTTTCTTTTTTTTTTGTCAATCATGTTTGACTCTATCCTAGGTCTCTGTGCTATCCAGCCTCTAGGTCCTGCCTTCCAGGCAGTGTACAGCCATAGGTTCCCTCTCCTTTTATGAGTCTCAAGTTGGACTAGTCATTGCTTGGCCACTGCCACAAACTATGCAGCACCTCCACCTCACAACATCTTGCAAGTAGGACTAATTGTATAGGTTAAAGGTTTTTTCTGACTTTTATTTTCTGTTTGAACAAGTTTAATATTAGCTAAATGCTAGTTTTCTTCATTTAATATATTTTTTATTTATTACAATGTATTCGCTTTGTATCCCAGCTGTAGCTCACACTGTTGTCTCTTTCCAATCCAACCTTCCCTCCCTCCCTCCCTTCCCAGTGAGAACCTTTTCCCCTGCTGGGTTATCTCTTCCTGCTTTGATATGAGGGTATGTTCCTAGACTTTGTAACTTGTTATGCCATGTTTCCGTGTTATCCTTGGGAGGAGAGGATCTGGGGAGAGGAGAGTGCGGTGGGGCTGGGAGTAGATAGGGAGGGGAAAATGCAGTAATGACAGGATATATGAAAGAATAAATAAATAAATAAATAAATAAACGAACCAAAAAAGCTAAATGGAATTGAAAATAAAAACATAAACAGACAAGTCCATAGGTATTGTCTTGATGTTTATTAATTCAGGAAGACACAGGCCTTTCTGGGCATTGTGGGTGGTACCATTATGTAGACAGAAGGCTCTGCACTGTATTGCACTGAGGAGAACTAGATGAGCAGGAAAGTACATGCCGTAGATTCAGTTTCTCCTCTCTGCCTTTGACTGTCAACAGTGGCAATAACTGATTGAGATCTTTCTTCCTTGACTTCTCTGAAACACTGGGCTGCAGCTTGTAACTATAAGACCAATAAACCCTTACTCTCTATGTTGATTTCTTGGACGTGCTTTACTACACCAGTGGAAAAGAGCTAGACAGATTCTCCATCAAATCAGTCTAGAAACTTCTCAGATATTGAGAAATAGAATCACCACATGACCTAGTTATACGGCTTTTAAGCATATACCCAAAAGACTTTATAGTCTACTACGGAGATATGCTCACATCTATGTTAATTGCTGCTCTTTATACAATAGCTTGGAAGTGGTATCAGCCTAGATGTCCATCAAACAATGAGCGGATAATGAAAATAAGGCACATATACCCAATGGAATTTTGTTCAGCTCTAAAGAAAATAATTTAATCATGAAATTTCTTTTTAATTGGATGAAAGGGGAAAAGATATTGACTGAAGTACCTCAGGGTCACAAAGACATATACCATATTTTGTTTCATGTATTAGTCCTAGCTTTGAAACTTTTGTTATATCTGTTTAAATTGAAGAACATGTGGAAGGCAGGAAACTAAAACGGGGCTGTTGAAAGGGTATGCATTAAAGGTACTGGGGGAAACAGAGTATAGATGAATTAAAATAGAGAACTAGGATATTGAGGGCATATAATTTTTACGCATGGCACCGGTAGGATGACAGTAGAAACAGGGGCTATGATTGCAAGTAAAACAAAATGAAGGGCATATGAAAAAGCCATATGGAAGCCTATTATCTTGTACTTAAAAGTACAACAAAAATAAATAAGAGGACATGTAATATGAAAAAAAAAGAGTAAAAATTTGGTATTTAAGGTTTAGGCATGTATGGATCTGAAAGATGGAATATGGACATGGTAGAGATTGGATCAAACAAAACTACATCACACATGTAAAGGCTTAATAGCCTGCTACTTTGTAAGCTAATAAAAAATACACTTAATTTTTTTTTAATAGAGTTATCCTCTAAAGGTGTAAAGGCTGTTTTCAGGAGGCACAAGTTATTAAAGTGCCAGGCAAAAGATACAACCTTCTGAATTATTGGTCAGAAAGGCCTCAGAAGTTCTTCAAGTAACACAAGATCTTGTTCTGTTTTCTACCGTAATTAGATGGTAAGATTGTAACACTGGAAAACACCACAAACCTAGTTTGCCAGACAGAGTGTTAAATAATCACTTTCTTACTATATTTGAGACATGCTCCTCAGGTCAGAACTGATGCCTCGTATTGTAGACCTGGTCAAAGCCCCTTGTTATGGAGGGCTAGCAAGGCTCAAAGGAGGATTGTACTATTTTTATTTTCTAAATGATCGTGTTTGTAACCAGATTTGTAGGGATTTACACATATAAACATAGATTTGTGGTGCTGTACCCATGGTCAGAGAAGTTTCTCTTTGCAGTACATACTGATTAATGCAGAGACAGATAACTGATAAAAGTGCTGAGGATTGATAAATGTGAATAATCAGCCATAAAAAAATAAATTTGTCAACCTCCTCCCCACAAAGATTCGTGCAACATTGCAGAATAAGAGACAGAAAGGATGCAAGAGCTGGAGGAGAAGACAATGCTGTGAAATGTGACTTTTTGGACGTGACATGGATCTTGCACTCATGAACTCTGGACCAGGAAAATTTCAACAGTGACGAGTGGAGAAATCATTGCACATTAGGTTCCACCTCTAACTAAGAAGCTATCAGCAGATTATTGCTACTGGGTAAGGAGAGTCAGTTCTGTGTGGTAGTGTGGCTACTGGTACATTACCTGTCTTTTGACCTTGTACACTGTTTGCCCATAGGCAACATTAGCCGACCCTTGGGATTAAAAAAAAATTTAGAGCACAATAAATTAGGATGAGGACAAGTTGAGGGAGTCCAGGATAACTTGTATTGGTTGAAAATGAAATGGATATGCTCAACATGCATTGAGCGTATACATATGTTTTCATATGTACATGAAAAAAGTAGGGTAATATGCTATCATATAATTTTAAAGTTTAGTAATATTATGTTAATATATGAAGATAGCTAAAAATGTTAATTCATTTAAATATTTATGAATCCGGATTTGGCCTTCTCAATGGTTACCCTCAAAATTAAATGAGTAAAGAGAGTGGATATTTGTTTAGCTTTTGTAAAATGTGATCAAGTGTCATATTAAACATTTACAAAGTGTGAAGTTGAAGCACTCTGGAAGTGTGCCAATGAAGATTAGTAAGGATCAAGGTTA